TAATATATATTAGTCATCTAATCTTATTAAATTACTGTTACATATCTGTTACTGAATCCGGCTAATTTTTATCAGGTGTTTCAGGAATTATGATAATAGCTGTAATGCAATATTTAATTAGGTTAGTTGACCCGGTTGACCCGAATAATTCGGTTGACCTGAATAACTCGATTGACCCGAATAATTCAGTTAACCCGAATAATTCGGTTGACCCGGTTGACCCGAATAACTCAGTTGACCCGGTTGACCCGAATAACTCGGGTCAACCGAATTAGCCGGGTCAACCGATCTAACCAAAGCAATACGGTTAACCCGATTGTATCCGGGTAAGTCAACTCGGTTAACCGATTAGGAATTTTTTACCCGGTTCAAATCATTAATAAGAATTAGTCTCAAGACTATTGCTACATACACTATTATATGATAATTCTTGCTTGTTCAAAAATTAAAAGCATTTCTATATTTTTTAGTATAATTCCGTAAAGTTTGTTGATCCTCAACTATATTTACCCCACATTCTTTTAATTCTTCATTAGATAAATTTTTCAAATAACTTATTGAAATTTTCTGCTTTTCAAACCTATCTAAAAATTTCTGATAATAGTTGTTGGTTTTTTCTTTTTTATCAATTTCTTTTAAAAATTCGGCCATAGTTAGTAACTTAATTGAGCGAAATTGATTTTCTTGAGATTGTGAAAAAATAAGCTATGATTGTGCTTGATATGGTTGATATAGACTAAATAGTATAAAAAATAGGTAAAATGCCAAGGGTCCAAAAGCCAAATTATTTTGGAGTAATACTTGTGATAATGAGGTTAATGGCATTTGAAAACCTTGTGATAATGAAACCAATGGTGGTAAAATTGGTGGTGGTAAAGTTGATAGTAGTAATGTTGCTAGTGGTTGTAATGTTGCTGGTAATGATGATAATGTTGCTGGTGGTGGTAATGTTGCCGATTGTGGTGGTAATATTGCTAGTGGTGGTAATATTGCTGATGGTGGTGGTAATGTTTCTAGTAATGGTGATAATGGTGATTACATTGTAAACAATGATTTTGATGAAGACAAATATGATCTTCTAGATGTATTAGCATAAGAAAAGAGAGGATGTGTCGGAGGTTTTTTAACTATACATAATCCTTTGTTCTAAAAATTTAAAAATATTTAGATTTTATAAAATATAATTCAATTTATTATAAAATAAAATAAATTTTAAATTTACTATATCTGATGCCCAAATTGAGAGCATCATAAAAGTAATTTCTACATGTAAGTCTTTATTACTTTCTTTGTGTAAACAAAGACAATTATGTATATTACAATGATGCTTATTTTGAATTTCTAATACATTCTTAGCAATCACTTTATCATGTAAAAACAAAGACAAAATATATGGAATTTTATTACTATTTTTATAATCACTTAGATTGGTTAAAAAATCAACATTATTGTCTATATTTGGTTTTTAACAATTACAGTAAATTATAAATCAATTATAATATATATAACGATAATACGAAAATCAATAACTTTAAATTATTACCTTCTTTTTTTGGTTAGATTAAGAAATTGGCTATGTAATTGTTACATAAATTTCGATATCAATATTTTTCACAGATAATTTTGTATATTTAGCCTTGAATTTAACAAAATCCTGTGTATCAGATAATTGTATACTAGTGCCAGTTTCTCTTTGTATTTTAAATGTTATACTATAATCATTTGGAATAAGTGTATTATTTTTTACTAATGTAGTGATTTTATTATGAAGCAATAAAAGAAATTCATTAATAGATGTTACAGTTTCTTTAAACCACTTAGCTGGTAAAGTTTTTTCTACTGTTTTTATAATCAATTTATAGTTTATTTCATATTCAGAATTATTAGAATCATCAGAATTATCTTTATTACTTATTTCACTATTGCTTGTTACAATAGACATAGATCAAGAAAGTGATAAAGCTATTTTCTAAAAAAATATAATATTTTAATAAGTATATATATAGTATAGTAGTATATATATGTGTATATAATTACAATAATATTTGGTAAGCTATCTATATCCATTGTCAGATCTGTAGCTATATCCATTGTCAGATCTGTAGCTATATCTATTGTCAGATCTGTAGCTGTATCTATTGTCAGATTCATATCCGTAGCTATATCTATTGTCAGATTCGTTGTTATATTTGTTGTTATATCCACAGATTTTTTTTTATTTTTTGCAAGATTTAATTTTAACAAAATATTATTATATCGACTGCAAAGAAAAAAATTGAAGGCTTTCTTCAAATTTATTTGATAATTATGTTCTTGAACAATTTTATGAATGTATTCAAACTTTGTAGCCATCCAAGTAGGCTCAAAAGGATATGTATATGCATGTTTAACCTTAGTGGTTTTATTTTTTTTATTTGGAACCAAAGATTTTTTGCAGCTGCAAGTATAGTAGCGCAAATCTTTCGCACAATATAAATATTTCCGATATCCAAAACATGTTCCACAATAATATTTTAGTTTTGTATTTGTAGCATCTGCCATTAAGATTAACAAAATTGAGAAGAAAAAAAATTTTAATTGCATAATATATATATATATATATTTTTTGAAATTTGATAGCCATATCACATGCCTGCTTTATTGATGAGGTACTACATTTCTCGAAGGATTTGTCTAAATTACATCATATCTTATAGCAAAAAATCTGGAATATGGCTTACCCGGTTTCCAATTAAATCTATGTGCGACCTGCCAAAGATGAGTTCAATTTCCTCGGTTAGGTTCAGCTTACTTTGCTTCAACCGACCTATCTCCGGATCACTAAC